ACTCAGAGGCTGAGCACTGTTCCTGAGCTTTTTTATTTTAATTCTTTATTTTTGTTCAGGTAGTTAAGACTCCCATAGACTGTCCTGCCCAAACTGGCTTTGAATTGCAATACTCAGGTCCTAGCCTTTTGAGTAGCTAGGATTATAGGCATGAACCACTGCTAAATCTATGCTCTTGAATAACTTTATTCTGGTTGTCACAAAGCTGAATAACATAAGGTAGAAGTTTAAATAGTGCTACCTTTAAGAAGGTCAAATTTTATTGAGAAGTAATGTGCACAAATGTGTCCAAATAGGTCCCAATATCCAAGAGGACACCTTAAGATAGGAAAGGTTTCTTTTCATAGTCCCATAGTCTCAGAAGGCTCAGTCCATGGTTGCTTGGCTTCAAGTGCTTGAACTGAGTGTTTGGCAGTAAGATCACAAGGCACAGAATCTTCTTCATAGCCAACAGGAAGAAAAGAGAGAGGGTGTAGAGGGAAAGCAACCAGGGAAATATATAACTCTCAAGAATATAAACCCAATTTCTTACTTCCTTGAACTAGGCCCTTTCTACCAATAATTTTAGGCACCTTTTTAATACTACTTATATACTATCAATCCATTAAGTGACTATTTATTACATTAGAGTTCTCATGATCTATCTCTAGAAATATCTTCACAGACACCCCTTGTGAGGTGTGTTACACTAATCTCCATGGCATTTTTTTTCAGTCCAATCAAGATGATAATTCAAATGAACTATCAAAGATGATACAGGTTTAAAATTCAAATAGGCATTAGATTTAACTGTCTCATCAATTTATTTCACTCTTGACTATCATATCCTAATGGGATATATCTTTGACCACTTAATGTTAATGCCATTTATGTTACCTTTATGAAGTTCTCTGGCTTAAAAGGATTGTTTTGGAGTGTCCTATATTCTTAGCAAATGGAAATTCCTCTCTTCTAATCACCTACTTCATTTTTCAATAAAATAACACTAATAAACTAAATGAGTTAAAAGAATGATTTTATCATGTGAAGATTTGTCAGTGAATATTGTGTGGAGGCATATTGAAATCAGTGTTATATAAGAGCAAGATTCAAGGAACAAATGCTATGGTTTGAGTAAGTGTCTTCCAAAGATTCATATGCTAAGGTTTGGCCCATAGAGGGTTGGTACTGGGAGGTGGTATGGACCTTTAAGAGGTGGGTCATTATAAAGCATGCTTTGATCACTCAGAATACAGTAGGCTTTCCCAGGAGACTGTGGGACCATATTCCTATTTTCTTTTTTTATTTGGATTGAGACATAACCACTTGTTCTTATATATGCTTTTGTCCTTCTCATTCATTATTTTCACCAGAGGTCTAAAGCAATATGGCCATCAATTATGAATCTACAAAACTATGAGCTAAATATATCTATTTTCAGTAATTAACTTCTCTTTATGGTAAATAGTATAATAAACATTCCCATAATTGGATGTTTACTACTAAGGGTTCTGTAGTATCTTCCATATTTGTGTCTTTTAGGGGAAAAATCACTTAAGAGTTATATGTACAAGAGATTATACAACTGCTAATACTAGTTTTATATATTATTATTAATAAGCATTTTGTGAGCATCTATTATATGCTCTATGCAATGCTGGGCATTTTACCCACAAGTTTCATTCTCACTACGAATACCCCTCACCTCCATGGATTAGAGACTTATTGTATTTTTATTTTTTGAATGTGTGTTGTCTCAGACCACAGAATAGATTACAAACTCATTCTTAAAATAGAAATAGAATAATAATCCTTACAGTTGTGCAAACATAGAAAGGTAGCACAGATTCAATTTAGAAGTTGCTGAAGACACCATGCTGACAACTTTTTCAGAAAAGTCCTAGAATTTCATTCCTTGAGTTAAATTTCTCATGTGGTATATACATTGGTGTATACATTGGAGTAATTATTGTAGAACTGTGAGGTAGTTATGACAATGTCTTTTCAAGAAGATAAGTAAAAGTTTAAAAGAGGGCTGGGAAGGCGGCTTAGTGGTATGGTGCTTTCCTTGAATGCATGAGGCCCTAGATTCAATTCCTCAGCACCACATAGGGAGAAAACACCAGAAGTGGTACTGTAGCTCAAGTGGTAGAGCACTAGTCTTGAGTTGAAGAGCTGAGGGACAGCACCCAGGCCCAGAGTTCAGGCCCCATGACCGGCAATATAAATAAATAAATGAATGAATAAATAAATAGTAAGAAGAAGAAACAATATCTAATCATCCCCTCTTTTTTCACCAGAACCATGACTAATAGGATGCCTTCTTGAACATCGTTTTTGTATTTCAGTATTTTGGTGGGGACAGTTTAACTGTATCTGTGTTATAACAAATCATTTTTTTTTTCTTGAAGGCATTTTACTTCACATCAAAAACTGAATAGTGTCCACACTGTTCATTGCAAGTTACAGAATATTCACAATGCTGGTCACTGAGTAATGTATACACACCTCAAGTTCTCCTTTATGCATTTTCTTTTAGAAAGATACTGTTTTCCAAAAGAAAACTTCAGCAGTACAGGAAAAACTACTTTCCCAATAAATTTATGAAAACTTAAGATTCTCAATGGAATCAAGATTACCTTCCCACTACCACCACCTCAATATAATCACATGCTTATTGGAACACTAATACTCATACCCTAAGAGTACATTTACTTTCAACATGAGGGTGATTCTTTAAAAACAAACTTCAGTGTGGTGAATGTAAAATAGGTTTCTTTGAGTATTACATGTCTGAAATATGCAGAAAATACTGAATTTAATATTATAAATAATTGTTCACTTAGCAGTAAACATACGTCTGCACATTCACAAGTGTCCTACACAATAAATACTGTGATTATGCATAATGTGTTATGAAAAAAAACTAGTATTAAGTAAGCCAGACCCAAAGAAACATAGCCTCCATGATTTCCCTCATTTATAATAATTTGTATGTCTAGCATAGGATCACAATAGCTCAATAGCTATGTACATATAACCATATAAGATGAGGCTAATTGAAATGAACTGTAAGATATGAAAAAAGAGGTTTTCCTTTGTTATTGTTGTTTTTTAATGTACTATGTGAAGTTAATTTCTTTTTCCTTTTTCCAAGTTTCCAGTTGTGGAACATATTTTTTTCATTGTCAATTAAATATGAACATATTAGAAATTGTTAATTGCAGTGAGATGGTCTTAGTTTTAGTATTATTTTCATTATAAAAGGTGTCCATTAATTGTCTCATTGGTCTTCAGTTTTACATAAATAACATCATTCTTTTAAAATTACTGTATTTAACTCACTTCAATTACTCATCATAATTTGTTATCCTACATGTTAATAATTATTACAGTGTCAATATATTTTACCCTCAGCATTGTGGCAAGATGCTTATGACTTGACATGAAAATAGTATTTGTTTTATGTATGCATGCATGTATAGTACTTTTGGGCCACTCATTGCAATGGCTGAGGGGTGGCAAACTGGGATTCTAAATGTTATCTGTTCTTCATAAGAGGTTGATCTACAGAATACCGTCAGCTGGTGTTTTGCTAGTAGCTTTCTTCTCTGGTTTTTAATATAATTGCAGGGACTGAGAAAGTAGCTCAGTGGTAAAGTGCCTGCCTTGCATGCAACGAGGCCCTGGATTCGATTCCTCAGCACCACATAAGTAGAAAAAGCTGGAAATGGCACTGTGGCTCAAATGGTAGAGCACTAGCTTTGAGCTGAAAAGCTGAGGGACAGTGCCCAGGTCCAGAGTTCAGGTCTCACGACCAACAACAGCAACAAAATATTATATATATGTAGATATATATACATATATATATATATATGTATATATATAAAATTGCAATTCGGAGAATCTGAAATCAGTGCACCAGTTGGAGAATCAAGTGTTTTAGAAGCACAGACATCCATAACATTCTTATTGAGAAAACTCAAAGTTCTGCTTCTTACACATGTAAATAAGGTTTGGGGCCCTAAAATGGCCAATAGTTTATTGGGAATGCCAGTAGGAAGACTTTTTTTTTCAATCCATACATTAATATTCATGGGATTCTATTTCAGAATCAGATGTGTGTTCTAAACAATGTTCATTCTTCTTTCCACACGTGTATCTTGAAATGCTAGTGTTAAAAAGAGACCTTGGTGGTCAACTGGCCTCACCACCTAAATTTTCAGATGATGAAATTAAGTGATTGGAAAGGTTAGTTACCTAATCACACTACCTTGGACAATGTCTTCCAGTTCAACACTCTTTCTTCTTTATCTTATCATTCCACCAGAACCTCAGAATCTTTCCAGAGTAATGCAAAAGACCCCAAAGCCATGGCAATAGCCACCATAATAGTAAAGCAATATGAGACTTTTTTCTCATCTTATTCTCACCATCTCAATATCTTGAAAAAGTCTTTCAACATCCCCAACCTTCAACATTCTCAATAGTGTAAAATAATATTAATGCTTTTCCAAAGTGTTAATAGAGTTTAAAAGTGTTAACACATACAAACCTTTAAGTCATTATGGTAGTCCTGAGTCTATGTTTTTCAACAGTCAGCATTTATATCTTAACATCCCATGGGGCTGTTGCTGTATTGGGATTCAAAAAAGTACTAGTTAATCATTAGTTTGACATTATTTCTATACTTACCTAAGCCATCAGTTGGAGTTTTGAAAATAAAAATCTGGAGAAAACTGAAACTAACACTTAAGAGTACAGTTATTCAGTGCCATAGTCCTAAAGATTTCTATCCTTTCTTCATGATTACACTTTCAGGTTAGAGTAAGAATAAAACTTTTTTTTTTTATGGTTTCCAAGTGGGTATGTAGAGATTTAGGAGTTAGCAAAGGAATTTACATGATAATCTCTTAAAATACCTTTGAAGATAGTGAATTACAAATTTTTGGATTAGCATGGGTATGTCTGTTTAAAATGCAAAAAAAGTATTAAAGCCACGTCATTAACTGGATTTAAAAAAAATTACACATTTGAAGTCATGATTATAACCTGGGGATTTATTTGCTTATGAAAAGTCAAACTATGAATTACAATATTGCAGAATAATTTCCACTTTATCAGAATAGTTTCACTGCTCTTTCCACAAATGATTTGTAAAATTTTGCATACCTAAAAAACTTTGTTACTACATTACAAAAAGTTACTTAAATATAGATGAGAAAGATAGATGCTTTTCTTTGTCTTTTGATATTGACACTAAACAAAAGATGGAATGTTTTTATTTAAAACAAATCCCTTGTTCCCCCTCCCAATATAATAAGTAAATAGCAATGTGAAGAAAAGCTTCCTTTAAATCTGTTATTCAGTTCAAATGTATGTTAGGAAAAAAGTCTATTCTGCATATAAAATATAACAACAAAAAAGGAATTATAATTAGAAAAATAAAACATGTAGAGGAGACAAATATTCTGCATATATAACTTTAAAATCCCAACAGGGACTACTTGTCCGAAGGAGAAGTTACACATTCAATCATTAATTTAAATGTAAATTCCCAAAGACCAAAATTCCAACATGTTAATTTCCCACAAGATATATACCCAGCTGAAAGGGTTCACCAGTCTACTATCGAGTAATAACAATTTATTTTTACCATATAGTAGTTTAGTTGAAATTGAATAAAGATTTTAACACAAATGTATTAGTAACATAGACTTTCCTGGATTACAATTGAACACTTACCAACATCTAGTCAGTTCATAAGTAATGAAACACCTTGTCAATATCAGCTCTTCACACAGTAGCAGGGTCTTAAGTGGAAAAAGGGCTTTCATTGCCTATTTAAATCACAGGAAAAGATTAGTGAATTGGCTAATGAAAACACCTTTTTTTTTCTTTTCTAAAAAGCCAGTTAAAATTTGAATCTACAGCTGGTTAACTTCCCTCTCTTTGTTCCTGTGATACAGTACACATATAAGGAAGATATTTAGCATTCTTTAATTGGGAAATCTGGTCCCTTCACTTGCTACAGACTCAAGGTAGAAGAAAAGAAAAATGTATTTTTTGGCTGTAGCTTTGGTAAACAACAAATGAAGAAAAATCTTGTTTTTGAGAGATCTGATAACTGAGAATCCAGACCTTATCATGTAGATATTTTTTACATTCCTCCAAGAAGCTTGGCAAATGAATAACTGAGCCCTATTTTGGTGGAAGGAGAGAAGAACATACTAGTTCCAGCCGCAAAATAATATTATGAAAACAACAAACTAACACAAAACAGTTATTTTTTCCTGAATAATAATGACATCATGTTTGCATATAGAACAGCATTTCCATTATTGCTCTACGGTATAGTATATTAAGTAATAAGGAACTCATAAGGGACTGCACATTACAAACTTAAGGTTCTTTGGTGAAGGATGAAAGAAAACAGTATTTGAGCTTTAAAGAAAACTATCAGCCATTTTTTTTCTTTTATCTATTGATCCTTTGGATCCTCTCACAAAGCAGAGATAGGTACTGTGTAAGTTTCACCATGGCAACAATCACAATGCCTCCAGCCATCATACATGTTGGCCAAAAAAGTGAATGGAACAGCACATTGGAACTGTAGAGTTTGGTTAGAATGACGGTTTTCTGGTTTCCTTCTGGGTCAGAATAGCAGGCGAAGTGTTGATACTTCCTGAAGTTTTCCATGACGATATTCACCAGGGACATGGATTCTTCCAAATTTTTTCCACACTTAGGTATGTAGGAGCACTATGGAGAATGAAATAAACTGTCACCAGAAGATGTTATTTTTGAGTGTATGTGTGTATGCATATATGTGTGCATGTGTGTGTGTTGTCACTAGGAAGGTGGTGCATATAGTGCTCAACTCAGTTTTATCTGTGAAATAACCATGATAGTTGTTCCTTTTTGTATTAAAGCTAATTGTTCCAGAAAACCTAAAAAACCATATATTAATTAAAATAATTTGGGGGGGGTTATCTGACCAAGATATATGTATTAATTAATTGTTAATTTAAATCAAATTATATATATGTTAATCAACTTGAATTAATAATTTTGTATTGCTGTACAAAAAGTAAATGACTTCCAATATGTTCTTTTTGAAATAACTATGTGAGGTAGGCTGTAATTCCTTATTGAACATACTTCTTCACAGCATAAGAATGTAAACATTTAGAGTTCTCAACACAAATTATCAAATGTCCCCATATCATATCAAAGTCAAAGTAGTTTTTTTTATATTTTTGGTAGGACTTTATTGTCTTCTCCTTGGTTATTTTGTTACTTTCATCAATCTTCTAGTGAATTTCTGGAAAAGAAATTTTGTTTTTTCAGTCATGGGAATTGAACTCTAGGCCTGGGTGCTGTTCTTAAGCTCTTCAGCTCAAGGCGAGTGCTCTACCACTTGAGCCACAGCACCACTTTTGAATTTCTGGTGGTTTATTGGAGATAAGAGTTTCACAGACTTTCCTGCCGAGGCTGGCTTTGAGCTGTGATCCTCAAATCTCAGCCCCCTGAGTAGCTAGAATTACAGGCATTAGCCACCAGCGCCCGGCTGGAAAAGAAAAAGAGCAAGATTAATTAAACATAGGTCAGTGCTCACAGCATTTTATTTCTAGCTACCCAGAAGACTGGGATCTGATGATTGTGGTTCAAGGGCAAGAGGAAAAGAGAGGTACAAAGTAGAAAATGAAAAGGATATGAGTGGTTAGAAAGAGAAGAAAATGGTATAAAGGAATAGCAAGAAATATAACAAGGAAAAGTCCATGAAACTGGCACCTCCAATTAACAAGCAAAAGTTCAGAAGTAGAAGTATATAGCTCAAGTCATATAATTCCCAGCCTTGAGTGAAAAAGTTGAAGGACAGAGCCCAGTCCCTGAGTTCAAGGCATGGTCCAGGCACCCCTCCATCCCCCACCTACAAATGTAAGGATAAATAATAAAGGCATGACATTTTGTATTGCTATACAAAAAGTAAATGACTTGTGCCAAGGAAAAGTAAAGAATCAAAACTGATTTTTCACCCAATATTGATTTAAGAAGTTACCACTTTTTTTGCTTTGATCATTTCTCCTGTTATATTTCTTGCTATTCCTTTATACCACTCATATCCTTTTCATTTTCTACTTTCTACCTCTCTTTTCCTCTTGCCCTTTACCTAACACCTCCTCTGTGACTTTGCTTTTTTTTTGCCCTTTCTCTCTCTCTGCTCCCTTTTTTTCTATCTCCTCTTTTCCTTTTCTCTTCCAAACATTGAACTAAAAAACTTTTTGTAGTTTTACTTTTTTTTATTAGGTGTTACATATATTCTATACATTTTTCCTAATAAGAGAAGTGGTTGCAACCAGACTGAGTGGCTCATGCCTGTGATCCCAATATTTAGGAGGCAGATTCAGGAAAATCCAGAGTTCTAGGCCAGCCTGGTCTACATTAAAAAATGCTACCTCCTAAACAGAACACAAAATCTTTCTCCAAACCCTCAGTTTCCCTCCTTAGCCACAATGCCCTCCTCAAAAAAAGCCCCAACAAACATTGTCTCTAAAAGGATACAATCTTGGCCCTTGATTTGTAACTGTGCACTGAAGAGATTGACATAACAATGAAACTAATTCTCAAAAAGTTTGGCAAAAGGGTGATTTGGATTACATTTCTAGAAATTTTGTGGGTCAGTAGATTTCTTTCCCATTTCTATGGTAATCAACTCTCATTGAGCTAAAATAAGATTTCATTTCTTGTATTATCAGTTATTTATTGATTTATCTATATTAAGGTGGTTGCTAATATGATCACTGTTCTATATAGTGAATACATTAGAAAATTATACCTCCTCTACAAAACACCAATTTTTCAGTTGGAAAATTTAAACAATAACCACATCTTATGAAAAATTGCTCCATGTAGCATTGCTATTTACCAGCTTATAAACTATGATTATAAGTATCCATATCTATGAGTTTTACAGTGTGATTGATATCCCTAGGGTTGTACATTTTAGGCAACATAAATAAATTATGTATGTATGTATGTGTATATGTGTGATATAGGGTAGTGTCCTGGAATTGACATTTTGACCTGTGCTTTTCACAGAAAGGATATTAAAAAATGAAGTGAATTTTAGCTAATGGAGTACATTTAGAATACTTTGTTTGACATGACAGTGTTCACACAGGTACTGTTCATTGAGTTGTAATCATTACATTATTTGACTATAAAAGTACAGGAAGTTTCTTTAATTAGTAAAGAATGAATGATGAAGATAGTGATATTGTGAAATCATGCTTAAGGTGACATGTGATAGAAAGGCACTATTAAGTAAATGTGTGCTTACATGTGAGTCAGTGGGGTACTGGTGCTAGCACAGCCTTGAGGTCTGGAAGCAGAATTCCACAGTGCATTGTTTCTTACGATGGCAATTGACCCATAACTGAAAGGGAGAAAAATGTCTACTAGTTGGATGCCTCCAGACCAAAAGGATTTTAGGCAGTTGTGGGAATTTAGCTTTTGTTCCTTGAAGCTACCCAGATCATGTTCTTTTTTTATTTTTATTTTTTATTGTGAAAATACTGTACAGAGGTGTTACAATTACATGGGCAAGATAATGAGTACATTTCTTATCAAGCATTGTAGCCTCCTCCTTTGTTTCCCCTTCCCATCCCCAGATCATGTTCTTAACATTTGAAAAAAGATTTTTTGAGGTGAAGCAACTTCAAAATAAAAGAAACACAGATAAACTATTTATAGCTGAATTTAAACAGAGCCAATTTAGATTGCTTCAGATATATTTATATTTTTGTGCCACCGTAATTTTTAGTCGTGGTTTCACTAGCTACAATTACTGAATTGATCTCAATTTAATATCAATATAAAGTGTATTTCATTTAAGGTTTTATTGTTTTGTATTCTCTGGGGATTTGATTTTGGCTTAAAGATTTTTTTTTTTACTGTTGAAATAAATTTATTAATGTCCAAATTTATATTTTCAGTGACAAATGTCATTCTAGACACGAGTCTTCGAAAGCAAAAAGATCTTGATTAATTAATATAGTTTACATTTACTTTATTATTAAGGTTAGGTAACTAATCATACAGATTCAAAAATTGCACTGATTTGGGTGAACTGGGGTTTTTATTCTCCAGTGAAAAGTATCCTTCTTTTTTTTTTGGTCCGGTCGTGGGGCCTGAACTCTGGGCCTGTGTGCTGTCTCTCAGCTCTTCAGCTCAAGGCTAGGCTCTACCACTTGAGCCACAGCGCCACTTCCGGCTTTTTTTTTCTTTTTGCTTATGTGGTGCTGAGGAATCAAACCCAGGGCCTCAGGCATGCAAGGCAAGCGCTCTACCATACCTTCCCAGACCAGTATCCTTCTTTACTATATATTTACTTCCTACATGATGTTCAACTTCACATTTTTTTATCAGTCCTGGGGCTTGAACTCAGGGCCTGGGAAATCTCCCTGAGCTTCTTGCATTCATGGCTAGCTCTCTACCACTTGAGCCACAGTACCACTTCTGGCTTTTTCTGTTTATATGGTACTAAGGAATTAAAGATTTTTTGTAAAGAAGTGTTTTCCAAGTTGGTCCAGTGGCTCATGCCTGTAATTCTAACTACTCAGGAGGTGAGATCTGAGGATCAAAGTTTGAACCCAGCCTGGGAAGAAAAGTCTGAGACTCATATCTAACCACAAAATGCCAGAAGTGGAGCTGTACCTCCAATGGTAGAGCACTAGCTTTGAGCAGAAAGGAGAAAGAGAGACAGGGATAGAGACAGAGACAGAGAAAGAAGGAAAGAAAGGTTTGTTAGCCAAACGGCAATCGTTTTCTCACTAAGTAATAGTCTTTCAAATAAAACCTGATGTAAAGTTCCTTTGAGACCATGTAGCAAGTTTGTAATACAGGCACCTCTTAATTAAAATTTAAAACCATCAGGGTCTGGCATGTGTTCATTTGGCCTGGTTAGCTTAGGCATATTCTATACATTCTATACATATTCTATACATGATCAAACGTGGGTCCTCAGGACCAGTAGCTCACAAAGGCGCAACAGGCAGATGCTAGTGGAGAAAAAATTGTCTGTCCTGTTCTTTCAGTAATTCTGAAAATCCTGACATCACTCATCACTTTAAACACTATGTAATCTGGCTTCTGAATATTCAGTCATATTTTAGCCATTTATTTTAAGTTTTTATTGAAGGATTCTTTTGTAATAATTAAGATATTAAATAGTAAAACAAGGGAGAGATTTGTCCTAAAGAAATATAGCTGTTATGTTACTGAGGACAAGTTAAACAAGTTATCAGAACCAAATTTATTCCTTTTGTGGGTTAATATTAACTTCATATATCAGTGAGAAATAATAAATATGCATGTAGTGTCAATAAACTTTTATTAACACATTTTCCTATTGGATTATCACATTCATTTGCAACGTCTTTTAAAATCCTTGAGTATTACATACTAAATTAAGAAACCTCTAAAGAGGGCAAAATTGCCAGCTATAGTTTACACAAGAGCTGTCTTGTTCAATGGCTCTTGTGTTATATTCTTGTCCTTTTTGTCCTGAGCGATTTGCACTTTGTGCTGAATTCTACATTAGGATCTTGCCTTTTCTTTGGCTCAAATTGTAGCTATGGAAGTGTTTCTGAGACTGTTGTGAATTTAAAATGAAGATTCAGTTGTCTTATGATTTTATCATGTTTTTAGTGAATAATTTTATATGATTGGTTTTGAATGTAAAAAATGTGTTTCAAGCT